AGCGCAGGCCCAGGCCACGGGGCTCGGGCTGCCCGGGCTGCCCCCGCCGCCGCCGCCGCCGCCTCCCCCGGGCTCTGGCCTCTTCCAGGCCGCGCCGCTCGGGCTCCGGCTCCGGCCCAGCGCCCGCCGCGGGGCACGTCGGGAGATGCAGTCCGCCTGCCCTACGCGCCGCCGTCGCCGCCCTCGGTCCGCACAGAGAGCCGCGAGGCACGCCGGGAAATGGAGTCTGCAAAGGCCTCAGAGCCCACCGCGGGGGATGACGGATCGCGCTGCACGTCAGGAAAGAGTCCTGGGCAATAAGTCAGCCAACTGTGTCGACTGCGGACTCTGAAGCACATTGGGAAGCGGAGTCAGAGTCGCACACTCACACACTCACTCCATTGCAGCAACTGTGAGCCCTAAATGTGCTTCAAAAATGTAGTCGCAGCCACTCTTTCAGTGAGCCTTGTAGTCCGATGCACGCCGGGAAATGGAGTCCCAGGTACTACCTAAGCCCCAAGTGGACACTGCAATTATGGAGATAGGCTAGGAAATAAAATAGGTACGGCGTTCCTCTGCATCTCCTACACTATGCCGCAGTCCCTACCGGGAAATGTAGTCAACACCAAGGCTTCAGCGTAGTTGCTACAGTGAACTTTGTGTCTTCTGGGAAATGAAGTTCAAGGCGGCCTCCCCGTTTGACCGAGCGGGAGGGATCTACGAGGAACCCGAAGCATGCTGGGGAATAGTCCAGTAAGGATCCTGACCCTTTGTGAGATGAGACTGCAGAGGCTTGCTGGGAAGTGGAGTCCAGCCGGTACTTTTGGGAAAGCGAGAGCCGAAGGTGAAAGACATCAATCCCCCCGGGAGGCTGTAGAGTGTTCAACGCCTCCTTCCCCTCCCCCAGGTCCCAAGAAAGTGACGAAGTCTATCAGGGGCTGCGGGAAAATGGGAGCCCAAACATTCCAAATTCCAAGTTTCCACTAATCAGGGAGGAAAAATCCCCTGCAAACGACTTGGGAAACAAAGTTCCTAGTGGTCTCTCAGAACAATAGCCTTCAGATACAATCTAGCTTTTTCTACCAACGTGGGTTGCACCAAGAGGCTGAGAGAATTAAAAGAGGTGAAAAAAGAACTTCTGATTTGAACCCTCTTTCAGCCTTTTGCGTTCTCCCGCTTCCCAAGTTTACAGGATCCAGGAGGGCCCAAATCAAGGAATCAAGGAAGCCGACTGTTAGGAGTAGCCTCAAGTTTTGTGCACGGACTATGTCGCCCTATTTATCGACTAATAAATACCCGGGAGGACTCTATCCCCAAAGGACGCTGGGAAACGGAGTTCGTGTGAGGGTGTGTGTGTGTGTGTGTGTGTGTGTGTGTGTGTGTGTGTCCCGGAAATACTTGGAACTAGAATGAAATCATCTTCAGCCCTCCTGCCTCGTAGAATAATGGGAAATGGAGTCTGTACACCTTCACTTTAATCTGAGCCAGTGTTCATACTAACTGTCCTGCCCTTTCTAAAGCCTGAATAAACTTTCATCCACTCGATCTAACTGCAGGTCTCAGCGGGCACAGAGCAGACAGACAGTATCGCTCAGGCCTTCTCGGACTACATTAACCAGAAGGCAAAGCGCGGACATACTTCCGCTCCCTTTTCAATGAATGCAACTGCATTACGAACAGTTCAGGGTCTGGGAGTCGTAGTTTTTCAGCCAAATGGTGGTTGCTGCCCTCTGACGGCAGCTCGAAAGATGAAAAGCAAAAATCTGAATCAAGCAAGCCCCAAGCCTGGGAAATCCTACACTGGACCAACAAGGCCCAAAAGGACAGCGGAGCGGGGCGGGATGGCGGCGGTTACTTAACTGCCAGAATTCATGGGACATGCGCAGTGGACGGCGCGTGGGCAACCGATAGGAGGGGATTGGGGTCGGTGGGAGTCTGAGGGCGACCGTCTGAGGGAATTTTAACAAGATGTTTGCAGGGGTGAGAACGTTTGTTGAGGGGTGCTAGGGCAGATTGTCTGTGTCTGTGAGGGGCCTGTGGTGTCCGGAGGTGTCCAGGGGAGTCTGTGAAGTGAAGGGGTCTTACTGGGGACCAGTGGAGAAGTCATAGGGGACTTGAGGTGTCTTTAAAAGGTCTGTGGGATGCCAAGAAACTACTCCAGACTGAGGGACCCGAAGGGGTGAGCAATGTTTAAGAAGCACCAGGAAGGAGAACTGGGCGCCGGGGGGGGGGGGGGGGGGGGTCTGGGTCTGGGGATTATAGGCTTGAAGAGAGTCTCTGAAGGATGAATTAATTGATGAAAAATTGTGAGATCGACAAAGGGCTTTCTACTGGGATGTGGAAGACATCGAGGGTGTGGTCTTGCAGAAATTGAATAGATTTCTAGATTTGGGTGGGTCATTAAAGACTGGCGGAGCTGCTGGAGTTTACAAAACTAAATTCCACCTGTGACACCCCACTAGGTCAGAAATGGGGGCAACAAGTCTGACCTAGAGAGCGGTTCTAAAGCCGAGCACTTCTTAATCCATATTGGACCTGGTGTTCTGAAGGCACTGAAATCGAACTGAGACACTCGTCTGGGTCCTTCCCCCCCTCCCCGCAGTGATAACACCCCCCTCTCTCCATCACACCACCACCACCAGCAACTCAGTTGCATCTATGTTGCCAGGAGACATGCCTCATCCCAACTTCCAGAAATAGCCCAGTGGCCCCCACCCCAGGGAGTGACTTACATCACCCAGGAGAGGGAGCAGTTGCCCGCAGGCTGCCAAGGGAGCCTGGGTTTCCTGCCAGTACCCCAGCCCTGGATCTTCTCTTCACTGCCAATCGACATCATCTGGGACCACCCACCCCGGGCTGGCAGGAAATGAGGGTGAAGCCTGAGTAGATAAGAGTTGCCAGTTCCTTCCCCCTCAGAGTTGCACAGGGTGGGGTTTCTCCATGAAGCCAGTCCAACAGGCCTGAGCCCTCAATTCCCACCTCATTTCTTAGCTGTGTGGCCTTGGGGAAACTCCTTCCTCTCTCTGGGCCTCAGGCACCTCACCTGCACTGTAGGGGTTGGGCAGTCTCTAAGGACCCTTTCAGCTTGGATTCCTTCTCCTGGCTCTTTCATCCCTGAATCAAGCTCTCCAGCCTGAACGTCTAGCTTTAGGAGCTCACCTTTCAGATCCTACGATTGAAACCTTTGTCTAGATCCAACTGTCCTGGCCCGAGGAAAAGGAGTTGTTGAAAGAACACAGGCTTCAGAAACAGACCTCGTTTAAAGTCCTGTCTGGGGTTAGGGCCTTGGGCAAGTCATTGAACTGAACTGCTTGCCCCCACATTGCTGGGTGTTAGAAATAAAGCCCTGCAGCTAACTAGGTATTAGGTACCTGGTACATAGCACGTCGTCGATCAGTAACAACCAGGATTAAGCCTGTCCCTTAACTCACTGGCAGGGGATGTTCCCTTGCTTTGACAGAGACCGCTAAGGTACCTTGCAAGGTCTGCATTTCCAGAGTTGTTGCAGGCCTGTTGCCAAAGTCCCCTTCCAGGCCATGGGGACACCGACAGGGGAATACACAGAACCAGAAAGGAAAGGCGTTTCAGGTGATCAGAAAAGCAAGGACAATAGGGTGGTGGAATCTAAAGCGCTTCCAAGGATAAGTGGATCCCCACAGAATAGGGGAGCTGTCAGAGGGCAAGAGTATGCCTGAGACGTTTATCATCAGGTCCTGGGGGTTATATGCCCCTGAGGTCAGATCATTTTCCAGGCCTCGATTTGACCCATTCAGATAGGGTTAGACCTTCTGGCCATAGATACGTTGGAGAGCCAATCTAGGTTCCTGTCTTCCAGAATCAAACAAAGGCTGTATGTGACCTTTTAGTTGTTGTACCCAACACCCAGGACAGATCACCACATCCAAAGGTCCAAAGTTTTATTGTTTTGAATACATTCTCCAGCAGCCCCCCAACTTCCCCTCCCCCCCCCCCCCACCCACTGTCCCCAATACAGAATAAGGCTTGACCACAGACCCCCACCCCAGGGGCCCCAGCTAGGAGGCAGAGGGGGCTTCCAGTTTGGTTTCAGGGCACCCCCTTCCCACCCACCCCCACCCGCCTGCCTATGGGCTAGTCCTAGGAGCAGCTGGGGGTGAAGGGGTTGGACCAGTGCTGGAATGAGGGGGGAGGAGTGGGAGAGGGATAGCAGGCACTTGTAGAGATTTGTGGCCTATGGGCGGCACCCCTCCCCCTCCTCTGCCCCCCACCCCCCCCAACATGGAATTTTTGGTTCATCATAAAATGTCCCTCCCTCCCCTGCTGCAACCCTGTGGGGTATGAGAAACCCAGGCACTCAGGGCCCCTGGAGGGGCAGGGAAGGCAGGATCAGGACTGAGGATGGACGAGAGTGGAGAGGGACAGGGACAGGAGGCAGAGAACAGGGAGGGAGACAAGGCTTTTACTTCCTAAGCGATTGTAATAAAAAACGTTCCTGGGCATTGAGGCTGGAGCCTCAGTTCAAATATAAATTCCCCAGAATGGAGGTGGCCCCCTCAACTCCCCCCACCCTACCCCCCCCCCACCACTTTGCCTGGAGCTTAGAAACCCACAGATAGGGGAAAGCCCCCAGCCCTGGACACCCACCCACCCTCACCATTAAAAAAAAGAAATTAAAAGTTTTATACAAAACATGGGGCAGGAAAGGGGAGGAGGCAGGGAAGACACCAGAGAGCTGTCCTTACCTCCAGGGCTTGGGGGGGGGGGGGTGGTTAAGGCAGCAAAAGAAGCATGGGAGGTGGGGGGAACAGGGCCCCCTGCCCACAGCCCTCAGGAATCTCGATGCTCCAGAGAGAGCTGGGCTGTAGCGTGCTGGAGGTCAGAGCTCACTCGCCTTGGGGTGAGGGGCCCCCCGGCCTCCCCAGGCCCCTCCCCCCGCACCTTCTTGTCCTCACCCTCATCCTCCAAGCCCCCAGTGGGGCCCCCACCCCCCTCCAGGCGACAGTCTTCACTCCAGCGCCGCTTAAAGCGCAGCTTGAGGGGCATGCACTGGGCTGCCCCAGGTGTCTCGCCGGGCTCGGGCTTGGGGGGCGCAGGTGGGGCACGAGGGGTCTTGAACACCTCCCCATCTTCCTCATCCTCATCGCTGATGTCAGTCACCTCCACTTCCTCAGACTCGCCTTCCGAGATGGGCTCCACCTTGATCTGTGGTGGTGGTGGCGGTGGGGCCAGCGCCCCCGCCCCCTCCGCCAGCCCCCCTGAGCCGCCGCCAATGCCAATGCCACCACTCTTGTCAGCACCCGCTGGAGCCTTCTCCCCAGCTGCCCGCTGCCGGCGTCCCAGCGGGGGTGGCTGGAGCTTAAACTTGAATGGGGAAGAGGAGGAGGAAGAGGAGGACGAGGCTGAGGAGGGGACCGGTGGGGTCTCCGGTGCCATGGGCGGCAGCGGGCACTTGTCAGGGCGCTGGGGCTGGGGCACCACCAGCCCAGGGTAGTGCAGGAAGGCGCGGGGACTGAGGTGGTAGTTGTAGACGCTTTGGGTGTGGGCCTGCAGGTACCGTTTCATGTCCTCAGGGCTAAAGGAGAAGTGGGAACCTCCTCCTGAGCCACTGGGGCCCCCACCACCACTGGGGTACATAGGGCTCAGCGTGGGTGAGGGAGTGTAGGCCAGGTGAGTGGGCGTCATGGGCAGAGCTGGTGAGAGCTGAGGCGGCAGTAGGGAGCCAGGCCCGGCCAGAGGCGACACAGGGAAGGGGCTCAGGGGCTCAGGGCCACCCCGGGGCCGGGGGTAGACTCGGAAGACGCCAGGGTCATGGGGCAGGCGTGCCAGTGGGGGCCCGCGGAAGGCACCCAGCTCTGGAGGGCCTGGCGGTCGGGCCCGGGGGTCCTCTCCCAGTGGCTCTTCCAGCTCTGACGTGCCATCACTACAGTCACTGACTGAGCCTCGACCCAGGCGTCGAGCCACCACAGCCGAGAAGAGGGAAGATGAGGATGAAGAGCAGGCCGGTGGTGAGCGGGGGTCCTCGGTGGGGGACAGCACCTCGGAGGGCGTTGAGGGAGGGAAGCGGAAGTGGCTGCCACCCGATGGCACTGGTGGGGCGCTCTGGGGCACCGCACCCCCTGGCAGAAGAGGGAAGATGTGGTGTCAAGGCCCTTGGCCCAGCCTGGACATACACACAGACCCTCTGCTTCTTCTGAACCCATGCCCACCAGCCCCATTACTCACCAGCCAGCCCCACATCGATGAAAGGGTAATTAACCAGCACCAGTTTGTTGAAGTTGAACTTGTAGGTGAACCGTTTCCCCTTGGTCTTGTGCAGAATGCGTTTGTTGTAATAATAGCTGTGGATGTAGAAACCCATCGAATGATCAGTCAACAGGACCAGAGTCTAGACCCCACTCCCTGACATGCGTTACATGCTGCTCACAAAGGGGGACCAAGAAACCTGGGCCACACAAGAGAAATCAAGTGCCCGGAAGGAATGAAAACTAGCTCTCCCCTCAGGCTTGGGGCCAAACTAGACGCCACACCCAGGACTGTATTCTCTCCGCAGGACACCTCTACACGACAGATGGGCTCAGAGAAGGATTAAGACTTGCCCAAGGTCACACAGCTATGATTTGGCAAAGGATCAAACCCAAAGTCTATTCCCATGGGTTACGGGTTCCTCAACTAGCGGGGGCTATCCATGTCTGCTCAGGGATCTCTGCCCTCCTCACCGCAGGGCCCGGCTCAGCTTGTCATAATTCATCTGGGGCTTGCACTTGCGGACGCCCCAGAGCCGAGCCACCTCATCAGGGTCCTTGATGACGAATTCCCCGTAGTCCCCCTGCCAGGCGATGACACCCTGGTATTCCTCCTTCCGCAGCAGCTCCAGGATAAAGTGCCACAGCTGGATCTGCCTCGAGCCAGGGGACGACTCTGGCTTGTAGGCCCAATCTGGGAAGGCAAACCCTGAGGACAGGAGGCAGGGGAGTGGCCCCGGGTCAGGACACAGAGTCCAGGGCTCCAGGTCCCCTCCCGGGGTCCACCCTCCTACCCCACCCTCAACATGGGGAAATCCGTCTCCCCTCCGCCAAGTCAGGACCTGGGTTAGAGGGAGACAGTGTGTGTCTGTGTGTAAGGGGGCTAGACGGGAGCCGGGGGGGAAGGGAAGCTGGAGCCTGCTCCAGCGACACCGGGAGAAACAGGAAACCGTCGGCGGCGGGTCCCGGGGCCAGTGCCAGGGGGCCAGGCACCAAGCCAGGCCGGCGGGCAGGGCTGCCAGTGGGGGAGGGGCAGGAAGGGGCACACGTGGCCAGCGGGTTGGGGCGAGCCCCCCCCTCAACCCCCACACTCCCATTCAGGGCCAGTTATACCCCTCCCCCAACCCACCCCACAGTTCCAGTCCCCTCCTGGGAACATAACACTGTCTCCCTCCCAAAACGTATCAGAGCCCTACTCCCACCCCAGGACCTGATGATTTTTTTTTTTTTTTTTTTTTTTTTTTTCTTAAAAGGACCAGGAGGAGTGGGGTGGGGTGGCTGGTTGACGATGAGGTCAGCGCTTGCACACACAGAGGCTTCTGTCTTCCCTGGAGAGTGAAACCCAGACTGTCTGCCCCCCCCCCCCCCCCCCCCCCCCAACCCCCTCTGGGCGGCACTGCCCTCCCCAGACCCAGGCACATGGACCCAACCTGGCTGGAAGGCCCCAGCCCAGGCCTGCAGATTGAACAAGCAATGCTACAGCCCGTTCCCCCTTCCGCCTTCTCATCCTCAGCTTCTTCCCTGCCCACCTGCCTACCCGCCCCCAGCATTAACCTTGGATAGAGGTTGGTGGTGGGCTGGCTGGTCCCTGGAGGGGGTGGGCAGCCTGGGGGGGGTCGATGGGGGGGGGGCTGCGGTTGTTGTCATTTCCCAAACCCCCGGGTAATCAGGGGCCATCAATAATTCAGCACTAGGCAGCCGGTAATGGAGGGGTGGGAGGAGGGAAGGGGAAGAAGAGAAGGAGGGGGAGGCAGGGCAGGGGCCCTGGTGCCACCAGAGGGAGAAGGCCAAGGTGGACAACTAAAATGGGCGGGGTCCCAAGTCACAGTCAGGCTGCACTGGTCAGCCTCTGGCCTCTGGCCCCTGGCCCCGGCTCAAGCCTCAGCTCAAGCAGGTACGAACCAGGCCCAGGGCAATGCTGAGCCTCCCTCAAAGACACCGCTGCAGTCTGGAATCCAACAGGGGATACTTCCCCTTGGGGACACAGGGGTTCAGCAGTTCCTACTCCCACAGGGACCACCTCTTCTAAATCCAGAGCGGAGTCTATCCCCCACAGCGACCCAGCTTCCTGAGCCCTGGCCTTGGGTAGAATGGGATGGCCAGCATTCCCCTCATAGTCCCTGCCCCATTCAGAAATCCCAGCCTCAAACAAGCCCCTCAGGGCTCCAAGGATACGACCTCCAGCTCGTCACAGACCCAGAGTCCTATACCAACAACAGCCCCTGCTCCATTCAGAAGTGACAGCCCCTGACAATGCCTTCCTTAGATCGCAGCATCCATAGCCCCATTCCTCTCTTAGGAATCCAGGTGTTCATCCCATTATCCTCACCCTGCTGGAGAATGCAGGTCCCAGGGTCTTCTTCAGGGGCCAGAGGCCCTTGAGAACCCAAGTGACCAAATCACTAGCTCAATGTACCCTCTACCTCCTCCAAAATGCTCCTACCCCCCACTCAGAGCACCAAGCTCCGTTCTTCTCCTACCTAAGCTCCAATCTGGTTCTCAGACCCAAACGGGGGGGTGGGGGGCAAAGCCCCTGAGACACTAGTCTGGGGTTGGGGGTGTACTGACTTTCACCCTCCCCCCCAAATTAAAGCCACCCTTTCCAGCCCACCCGCCCCAGCCTCCTTGTCCCGGTAACCAGGCAACGTGTGTGCAGCGACAGTCCTGGGAGCGGGGGAGCAGGAGGCTAAAAATAAACTTTGCAGAAGAGGAGTGAGAGAGACTACATGCAACACAAAGGGAACTCGGAAGGGAGGTGGGGGGGCTCTGGAAAGGCCTCAAGCTGCATTCCGGGGGCTGTCCCAGGCTGCCTTGTTAACCCCCCCTTCCCTGACCAAGCTCCCTCTGGGGCTAGGGCCCTGGATCCCAACCCAGGCAGGGACTTCCCCACTCCCAGGACCACCCCTACCAGGCTTTCCTCTTCGGACATGGCATACATGAGGGCCTGTTCCTGGCTTTGGGGGGAGAAGAAGAGCGGGGGTGACGTCAGGGTGTCTCAATGGGGCTCTGTTCCCCAGGCCTTGGAGCCAGGAGCCAGGCACGGGCAAGGGGAGCATGTGTGAGTGTGTGTTGTGTATGGGTCCACGTGCTTAAACAGGGAACCACCAGGCCTGCACCAGGAAAGCTTGGGGGAGAGGACCTCTGGAGCATGGGGGACAGTGATAGAAGGAGCAAGCAGCTGACACTGAGAGAGGGGCTCAAGACACTTTGAGACAGGGTGGAGAGGTAGCAGCAGACAGACAGGAAGGGCTGGGATGGCAGGGACCCAGAAGGCACACCTGGGTCCCACAGAGGTGGGGTAGGGATTCTCCTAGACAGACTGGAAACCTGGGGGGCGGGGGGCATAACTCCTGGGCACCCCCCAAATTCACATGACTGGCCAAACTTTTTTTTAAAGAGACTATGGGGGTCGGAAGGGAGTGGTGGTGGTAGAGGAAGAACACGCCGACCTCCTGGGGGGGCCCTGCCACCTCCCCCACACTCCAGGCAGCCCTCGGTGGCGCCAGAGCCGGGAAGAAAACAGGAAGTGGGAAACAGCCGCGGCAGAGAGGAGAGGGGCCGGGATGGAGGATCGGATGGAGGGGCGTGCAGACGGACAGACGCACCGATGGACCGATCGGGAGGCCATTCCAGGCCCCCGCCCCTTCCCCCAGGCGGAGAACCCACACGCGGCTCGGCCCCAAGACAGGGTTAGGGGAGCGGCCCAGCCGGTCCCACCAGGCAAAGGCCCGTAGCAGGGAGGGAAGACGAGGCGGGGTTGTCTGGGCGCCTAGGTCCCCTCCTCGGGCGAGAAGAGGCTCTTGCTGCCCCCAAGGCCCAGCAGCCCTGGAGCCTGTGGGAGCCAGAGAGTATGTGGGACGCACGTGACTGACCCTACAGCACTCCGCACCCCTGCCCCACCCCCCTGCCCCCTCCTCGGCCCCAATCCCCAGGCGCCGGAGCCCGGCTCGGAGCCCTTTAAGAGCCGCCCCCACCCGCCGAGCGGGGGGGGCGGGGTGGGTGGGCCGGTCGGGGCACACACCCGCACACAGGAGCCCTAGCCGCGGCCGCCGCCGGGGGAAGGAAACAAGTTTGAACAGCGGCGCCCGGCCCCCTTCCCCCTCCCCCGTCCCCGCCCCGGGCCGGATTCCGACGGGGTAGACGGGCAGGGGGCGGCTGGGACCCCTCCCCCCCAGCGCGCTCGGGCGCAAAGTCCAGCCCGCGCGAGCCCGGGGGCGGCGGGGGAGGGGAGGGGGGAAAGTCCGAGTGGGAGGGGGGTTAATCCCGCTGCCCCCCGCCCGCCGACAGGGGGGGGAGGGGAACCTTGGCCCCTTAAGGAGGAGCAAGTTGGCGGGGAAGAGGGGGGCGGAGGGAAAAGACGGCCGGTTGAAAGAGAAGAGCTGGATGAGGGAGGGGGGGCGAAGGGGGAGCCTCCGCGTCCCCCCCCACCTTCCCCACCCTCCTCCACCCCGGGGCCCCGGCCGCGCGGGAGGAGGGTACCCAGGTCTCCCCGGAGCCACCTTAAAGCCGCGCGTTCTAAGGTCGGAAACAAAAAGTTCCTTTTTCGAACGTTCGGGCTGCGCTTTGGAACTTTGCGACTCGGCGCGGGCGGGGGAGCGAGGAGCCGGCGGAGACGGGCGGGGGGAGGGGCGGCGCAGCCCGGACCCCGAGTCCTGGGCTCCCCAATCACGCCCTCCTTCTAGAAACCATCCCGTATCCCCTCTAAGCCGGTGCGGGGCACGCGCCGCGGTGAAGGTCATGGGCCGGACCGCGCAGCGCAGAACCGGGAATAGCGGGCCCCGTGGACAGCCCCCCCCCCCCCACGCCCCGCACACGTCCCGGCCCCCAGAGTGCAACGTGACAGAGCGGCGGGGAGGGACCCCGCCACCCCCGTGATCCCGGGAGTGGGGGAGAACCCATCTCTCGGAGTCCAGTAGGGAGAGGACCAGGACTCGCAGCGCCCACACCACTCCGCCCGGACCCAGAAATTGGGGGTCCCATGCAGCACCCCTCGCTCGCGCCACGAGAAGCAACAGGTCTCGAGTGCTTGGGGTCCCCCCAGAACTGGGGATCACTCCGGCTGCCCCGGAACCCTTCAGCCCCCCCCAAAGTTTCTCTGCCTGGTTTCCCCGGGCAACAAGTCTCCCCCACACGTGCTGCCCCCGCCCCCACCTGTGTCCGCCGGGGTCTTCATGCTGGGGGGGCCCGGGGCTAGGCGCCCCGACTCCGGGCCGCAGCTCCCGGCGCCCGCGCTGCCCCGTCCCGTCCCGCGCCCGTCGGGCCGCCCTCGGCGCTTCACCCGGCCTCGCCTCTCAGAGCCTCTCCCCTCCCCGCCGCCGCCTCCCGGGTTAATATCGCACTCCGGGGCCGGGACGCCCACGCCCCCCCGGCCGGCGACGTCACCGCCGCGTCGCCATGGAGACACTGCGCCCGCCCCCTCCCCGCGCACTCACACACACACATACACACACACGCGCGCACGCACGCACACACACACACACACATATACACACACACACACTCGCCGGCGCGCAGCCACTGAGGACCGGCCGGCTCTGGGCTTAAAGGGGCCGCGCGACAGGGGAGGAAGGAAGGAGGGGGTGGGGGTGGGATAGGGTCCTGGGGGTCATGACCCTTTTCCGAGGCTCCTAGTCTGCAGATAACTTAAGTCCTCCGCGCTCGTGACCTGTCGCCCCTCCTCCTCTCCTGCCCACTGCGGAATCCAGAGTTTCTTTTGGGAGCTTGTAAGTGGGGGGGGGGGGGGGGGGCCGGGGGGGGGGCGAAAAAGTTGTGTAGCCGTGGAGGCTCGACGGGGGGGGGAGCACCTGCGGCGGGGGGGGCCGGGGGGGGGCCTGGGGGGGGGACCAAAACCACTTTTTTCCCCCGGGCCTTCCCCCCCCCCCCCCCCACCACCCCCCCCACACACACACAGCCCTGAGCCTGAATGGGGGCAGCTGTCCAGGGGTGGGGTGGAATGGGTGGGAATCATTTCCCAGCATCGGAAATGGGGAGGCGGCTGTGCCCTCCGCTCCTCCGGGATGGGGTCTTGGCCTTCCAGATAGCCCCAATCCCAGCTGGGGAGGAAGTGACCAAAGAGAATGCATTTGGGAGCAACCCACCCACCCCCCCCCCAACTCCATCCCCACGCTGCAGCTGTCCTGGGGACACAGCCGGCGCCGGAGGTACCCCCACCTCCACCACCAGGGCAGGGGGTTCCGGAGGTGGGCCAGGATGCGAGGGGGCGACCAAAGTCTGAACAAATGTGCTCCCAAGGGGCACTGGTGGGTCGCCAGGAGAGAGGAAGGTAGGGCTTAAGGATGAAGACCAGTGCGTAGGGCAGTGCTAAGTCTGTTCTCCGCAGCTGGGAGGGATGGATGGAGCCTGAGGCTTCAGGAAACAGGAAATAGGCGCTGATCAGATGGCTAGCGGGAGCCGGCAGCAGGGTTGAGGGCAAATAGAAGCAATATCCACAGACCCAGCCCGAAGACAGAGTTTCAGAGAAGACTCTTGAGGTACCAAAGGAGGGGAATATTGCAGGGTGGGGGTGATGCTCAGAGAAACTGAAACAGAAAATGGGCAGGGAGAGACAAGCCACAGGGTGGGAAGGCCAGGAGGGTGACTCTGGCTTCTTAGGGCTTCAACCCTTTGCTGGGTGCCTAGATGCATTAGAGCAGTCCCCTAACCTGTGCCTCAGAAGTCTCTAGCCTCTTCCTCCGTAGAGACCAGAGCCTCCCGGGGAAAGCATCACCTCCCTGGGGAATTATGTAACCTTGCCTACGGACAGTGCTGCTCCCCCACGGATATTGTAACCCTCTGGGAGCAGTGTGGTCCAGCAATAATAATCACCATCATTGTTATTATAACAGCTCCCGAATTCCTAGCGCTCATGATGTGCCAGGCACTGGGCCAAGCATTGTCTGGGGCATCTTGTCATTTGATGCTCACAAAATCCCAAAGTGGGAAATTGCTATTGTTATCCCCACTTACAGATTAAGAAGGTGAGGCTCGGAGGGGAAATCAGTCCGTCAGAGTCCTACAGCCAGGAAGTGTTGGAGTCAGGATTGAAACTTAGACCTATCCAATTTGAAACCACATCCTTCACCATCAGCTTTACTGACACCTTTACTGTCTACCTCTCCTCAGAAAAAGACAATGCAAAGTTTCAACAATAATAGGTCTGTAACAACTTTAGTGATCCCACACTCCCACCAACAAGACAAAGATGGGGGTTGCAACCCTAACTTTGCTACTTCTTGTCTGTGACATAGAACAAGTGAATTTTCCTCGTTGAGCCCCAACTTCCCCATCTGTAAAATGGGGATATTATTGGACCCTACATGACCAGGTTGTTGTAAGAAATTGGGGATATGAAGTAAGTATGTAGTAAATACTGGTAATAAATTATTAGCAGAATGAGCTATATATCCTGTGGATAATGTAAGCACCCCTTACCCTACAGACTCCAACTAGATAATAAATACAGGGTACTGACAGTGTGAAATTGCCTTTTTTCTTTTTTTAAGAGGGAGAGAGTGAGCACATGTGCATGCAAGCCCAAGTTCAGCTCAGGTCATGATCTCACAGTTCATCCGTGAGCTTGAGCCCTGCGTGGGGCTCTGTGCTGACAGCTCGGAACCCGGAGCCTCCTTTGGATTCTAAGTCTCCCTCTCTCTCTGCCCCTCCCCTGCTTGAACTCTATCTCTCTCTGTCTCGCAAAAAAAATACAAAATAAATAAAAGTTGAAGAGTCATACGCTCAACCGACTAAGCCACCCAGGCACAACTCTTCCCCCCCCCTTTTTAAAATAGGGAACAATTCACAAATTTGAGTGTCACCCTTGTGCAGGGCCCATGATTCTAACCCTCTCTGTATCATCCCAGAAATTGCCTCTTAATGGCATAAGTCCCACCCTGACCCAGTTGCATAACTCAGTCCTGCTGTTCCTATGAAATACAATCATGGGTAGCGGGCAGGCATCATGGTGGAGACTGAGCCATCAGAGAGAGTGGGAGTCCCTGGTGAAAATGCCCCCTGAGTAGTGTGACCTCTGGCGGTTTATGAAAACCTATCCACTGATCATGTAACCTCCAGGGGGTCAATGTGACTCTACCACAGAAGTGTGGACCCTCTTGGATAGTTCACTTGCCTTGTGAACACTGAGAGCCAATCAGGGAAGGTGAACCCCACCGTTACTGTATGAAACACTCGCATATCACAAACTTGGCAGAGAGACTATTCGTCACCACTGGTCATTCCTTAAAGGCACGCCATCCAGTGAAGGCATATGGAAGGCCATATCAATTCCAGTGAACAAGGGGACACTTCCTCCCACCTTCTCATTCCCTGTGGGAAAACTCCACCTGAAGGCCCCTGAAGCTAAGTGAAAGATGCGACCTCTCATAGACCTAAGACATGCCTACAGTGAACAGTGTAATTCTCCAGGGAGAAAACAACTCTGTCCAGACGGTGGAAGACACCCTCACTCCCATGGACGTAGTTCTTCTTGTTCCAAGTTACGGTCCTGACAGTAGATGACATTTATGCTGTTGCTGTCAGGCTAAGGCATGGACAGAACCTATCTATCCCCACGCTTCTGAAAAGAAAACCGTTATGGGTGATCATCCTTGTCACAACCTACCCATCACCTATAACAAGCAACAAGAGGCCATTACTACTCTTTGAACATTGTAGTTCCCTTAGAAATAATATGAGCCACCATATGTAGAGACTGTAGCCACCTAAACAGTGTGACTACTCCCAAACAAAAAATGTAATAACCCCATTAGTGTATCACCCTTCTTCAGCCCCCTAGTTGAAATGCTGAAGGGTTCCGGGGCTCAGAGCTGGGTCCCCCTCTTCCCTCCTCCATCTGTTGCTGGTTCCCTTAGTGATCTCTATCAGCCCCATGGTTTCACATGCCACCTCTGTGCTGATCACACCCAAATCTTTTTCCTCCAACATAGGACTCACCACTGGCTTCCCAACCTCACACATCAAAAACTACCTCACCAGCGCTTCCATTTTGATTTCTCAAGTTTGCCCAGTCAAAATGGTTTCCCTGAGCTCCCCGAAACTGTCCCCACCCCAGTCTCCCCCATCTTGGGAACCTGAAACACCATCTTGCAAGTTGCCCTGGCTGAATTCCTTGGTGTCATCTTTGACCCCTTTCTGTCACCCATCACCCAGTCTGAAGGGAACTCCCATATGTGCTCTACCTTCAGCTGTTTCAAAATCAGCTACTCTTCGGGGCGCCTGGGTGGCTCAGTCGGTTAAGCGTCCGACTTCAACTCAGGTCACAATCTCGCAGTCTGTGAGTTCGAGCCCCACGTCGGGCTCTGGGCTGATGGCTCAGAGCCTGGAGCCTGCTTCGGATTCTGTGTCTCCCTCTCTCTCTGACCCTCCCCTGTCCATGCCCTGTCTCTCTCTGTCTCAAAAATAAATAAACGTTAAAAAAATTTTTTCAAAATCAGCTACTCTTCACCATCACCACCCCACTGATCTGGGGACTCCTCGCTGGCCTCCTGGCTGCCACTTGTGCCCCACCTACAGCTAGAGGGGTTCTAGTAAATCAGATGATATCCCTTTGCTGCCCCAAATCGTCTGTTCACTGGGAATAAAAGCCAACTCCCTGAAGTGGCCAGCAAGGCTCTTCCTCCCTGACCTCACCTCCCACCTTTCCCCTCCATTTCCTTGCCAGCCGCACTCCAGTCTCTCTGTGCTATTTCTTCAACAGGCCAGGCATAGGCCTGCCTCAGGGATTTTGCCTGTGCTGTTCCATCTGCCTGGAAGGCTTTTCCCGCCGAAGTCTGCATAGCTCTGCCCTTCGTCCCCTTCAGGGTTTTACTCAGAAACCACCTTCCCAATAAGCCCTACCTGACCACTCTCTTTTCTTTTCGTTTTCTTTTTTTCTTTTCTTTTTTTCCCCTTTCCTTTCCTTTCCTTTCCTTTCCTCTTTTCTTTTCTTTACTTTTCTCTTCTCTAAGTAGGCATCATGCCCAGCCCAGAGCCCAACTCAGGGTTTGAACTCATGACCCCAAGACCTGAACTGAGATTGAGTCAGAAACTCGGGGTGCCTGCGTGGCTCAGGAGGTTAAGCGTCTGACTTGGGCTCAGGTCATGATCTTGCAATATATGAGTTTAAGCCTTGCATCAGGCTCTGTGCAGACAGCTTAGAGCCTGGAACCTGCTTCAGATTCTGTGGCACTGTCTCTCTCTCTCTCTCTCTCTCTCTCTCTCTCTCTCTCTCTCTCTCTCAAATAAATAAACTAAAAAAAAAAAAAAAGAGTCAGAAACTCAACTGACTGAGCCACCCA